AAAGTATTAATTTATATTTAGTTTATATATATTTATTTGTATAATCAGTACTAATTTCATTATTTAATTTATTTTGATAAATAATTATTAATATTTACTTTAATAATTTAATAATATAAAACAAATTGTTTAAAACTTTTAATTATTTCAAATTAAATTTTTGAAGAAAATACAAAAAAATTATTATAAAATAACAATGTCATATTTCTGAAATATCATAAAATATCTCAGAAATATCTCGAAAATGTCAGATTAATTGAATTTTCTAAATCGTTCAACCTAATTATTTAATATGGTAAAACAAAATAATTACTTATACTTAATTATTATATTTTTATTAAAAGCATACGTGTATTGATAATGCAATATATAATTAAAATAAAAATTTTTTTTGGTGAATTTAAAAAGTTCATCGTGTTTTTTTAATTCTTTTACGAATTCTTCTGATTGTTTCAGATTTAGAACCAATTTTTCCAAGAGTTCATCAATACTATTTTCTGTTAAATTCTCAGTTGGAATATTAAGGACCAATTATTTGTTAGATATAAATGATAAAAGTAATGCATAAACACGTCATATAGCTTTTCCTTTTATAAATAAAATGATTAAGGCAATTATAAGTTATACGTAAAAATGAAGAAAAGAATAGTGTCGAATTGTAGCCAAAAAGATTTAAATTTGTTAAAATATTGAAAACATTCAAGTATTTTTTTACCGACAGAAATAATATTATCATAGTATTTTAAAGGTTCTTCTTGGTCACTGCTTTTGGTATATTCCTTAATGGTTTTGATAAACAGTCTTACTAGTAAAACATAGGACGAAATGTTGCTGTTAGTATGAATGTATGAAATACTTGTACTTCTTTTATGTGTAATGTATATTCGATGTATCTAAATATATCAAAAATGGTTATGTGTCTTTTATCAGGACATTTAAAGGTGAGAAGTGCAAAACGAATTATGTCTAAAACAGTTTCATTCTGCCTGTTTATTAATATGGGATATTATTCGTTCTGAGAACTTATCATTAGATCTTTTTCGGGAATTTTACAATCACTCGTCATAAAATCATATAATAGCACATTTTTTGGCAAAAATTCCCAGTATTCAGACCTTTTAACAGCTTTATTAAAAACAAAATATATTTCACTGTGTTCTAAATTTTTTATATTATCATCAGTGTCATTTTAATGCATATCACGTTGTAGTAATCTGTTTTTAAGTCTATTTGCAACATATCGAAAATTTTCGATAGTATATTCTCCTGATTTGTTATAATCAGGACAATAAACAAATACTTCGTCATATGTTATATGACGACAAATATTTAATAACATTTTCTTAAACTGTTCTGAAAAATAATCATGAATCATCAAGTAACCTTTAAGAATACTGGAAGTTTTATTTGACGTATCAAATATTCTTTCAATATTTTTAAAATAGAAATCTAAATGTTCAGAAACATTATTTAAGTATAAATTGAGTGACTTTAATTCTTTCGAGTACAACTTTTGATTGGCTTCCATTAAAACATCTAACATTACTAGTACGATTTCGCCATGTGTTTTTATTGCATCACCGTATGTGTTCAAAGTAAGCACATTATATATTTCTAAATTTTCACTAATTTCAGTCAAATATCGATTATTATGATTAAAAAATTCAACATATACTTGATAAAATTACAATGGAAATCATGAAATAATAATCCAAGCGTTAAATTAATGAGTAATAATGATATAAATTTTATTAAAATCATTTTTTTAACAAATAAATAATAAATATAACTATTTTGTGTATTTTCATATACTTTTAAAAACATATTACATATTTCATTTATCCTTATTTATATTCAATTACTTATCATATAAATAGTATCATTTTATGACGTCATTTGTTTTAGTGTTTCTATATTTCTATAGAAATATATCATATCGTAATTATTTATAATATTAATCAGTGATTGAATAATAAAAAATTTAGCTACACAAATTATTTGAATTCCCCTCCTACAGGCAGGTTAACACGATACCCTATATTTTGGAATACGTTTAATAGACAGACACCTCGTCTCTTTCAACAGCCGCCTTATTACATCACAAGCCCAACTTGATTAGAGTACTTCTGCTATCTAGTGTTGTACGTCGGTAGTACCCCTAATTAGACACAAAGTAGTACACAAATTAACTAATGTTTTTTAACAACGAGTTGACGCGGTCGCATTGCACTTCCAGCTTTACCGCTGGATGGCACTGCGACACAGCTACCTCTCCTCGTCCGACAGGTCGCGCGACGCTGAGTGGCCGCGGGTGACGAGAACCAGTCCAGTGATGCACCAAACATAATCATTAACATTTTGGCTATTGTCTACTTCCTTTGGAAACTGATTTTGTTTTTATGTAATCTTACGAATATAGCAATTGTAAAATATATTTTCACTGATATTTAATCACGGTGTTGTTTATTTATTCAATAAAATTACCACTTGACCACAACAGAATTCGTCGTTTTTAGCTCTTCTCGAGCCCTACCGTTGGATACACTGGTCAGCCACAATCCTCCTAATTAATGAACTACTATAGGGGTAGAGTTTAGACCCGTCAGCACAGTCTAGCTCAAAAGTAGCAGACTGAAGGGTGGCTCCTAGTCAACCACCAGCAAAACTACCTTTTCACAATACCTACTAAACGGTGGTTAAGCCCAAAAACTAGCCAGTACGCACACTAATTATTTAGATCGATTAAAGGACCAGCAGTCCAACCTCGACTCTTGCCGCACACACACAATTATAACGGCTCAGTGGATATAATTTATTTACGCTAAGTGCAGGTGTTTAAATAGTTATTTTATTCAAATAATGTAATAAGTACAAAGTCAAAATGTAACATAAAAATATAAAACAAAATAAATTAAGTCGTACAAAATACAAAGTTACTCGCACCCAATTTCCTGACCCGTAACTCGACGTTTTTTCGTCAAAACGTCAATCCCCTTATATTTTTAATGTTTCCCTTTATATATTCTTTTTCCCACCGGTATTAATTTGCTTACCCTGCGTTTTCCCTTTAGATGACATTATTATATTGCTTAAGAATTTAGAAATTGCTTACTACTGTTGTACAACTTATAATATACTAGTATCGACGTTATTTAATACTTCTTCAGCTATTTACTACACTAGTGTGGGTGTAAAGTCTATCTACTGGAGTGCCGGCGATGAACGCTCTTTCCAGTTGGAAACGCATTCTAATTATTTGTGATTGGCCAACGATTTCCTTTTAAGTTTTTTTTTCGACTCCATTTACCCATGAAATCTGAATAACATATAAGGCGGTTCATCTAGCTCTAGTATTCGTTTTATTACAATTTTCAGTGACAATCATTGTGTTTGGGTTGGACTTAAAATACGATGTGGTTGAACATCGCAAAATACTTGAAACTCTTTATATTTCTCTATTTTTTTACATGTTTTAAATAAATTATATATCACAAGATAGATCTTCTTATATATACAAATTGTCAGCAAATCTTTTAATTAAATTTTATGGCTACATATATATAATCAGTATCTACTTTCAAGGAAGAATTTTATAAACTTTGCTGGAATATAGTGCTAATGTGCAGCAAATATATTATTGAACCATAATTCAAAAAAAGTCTTCTTTAAATTGACTAACAACCCAATTTCAAGGTCCAAATATGATATTGCATCCATTAAACGCAAAGCTTATATTATTATTCAGAGGAATATTTTTGTTTTTCAATGGTTTTAAAAAATAAAAAATAAATTCGATGTTTTTAGTATTACAAGAATAGGAAAAATTAGATTATTAATTTCTAGGGTCATAACTAAAATAAGCTACCACTAAACATTAAAGAAAATGTTTTTTATAATTAACCATGCCATAAAAATATTAAATATAGAAATAACTGAATACTTATTAATTAATTAAAGCTGGAATTTATGCCCGTTGATATTTTATGTACACTAAAATTGTGTGACAAGTTGTAACAAAGCCATGATGAAAGGGAATGCCCTTATACAAGGCCTGTACCTTATAAACTAGAGGAAGATGATTTTTGAAGAGACAAACAATACCCGCCGGTCATCAAGCACGACAAAACCGCTAAAGCACTGCGTGTATACGCCCCAAGTAAGCAATTGGTTTCAGACAGTTAAGTAGGCGAAGTAAAAGAAGAAGATTTATCATAAGTTAGCAATGTAGGTGGTAAGTAATACAAATGATGTTCAAGAGAGGAAAAGAGCGGGGTGAGTGTACACATAAATGCCGTCCGAAGTAGTACACCGCTGACCATCTGTCACGTGCACAAACAAATCACAACACTTATATACTTATATCTTAGTACTGTAGACAAAAAATGCCGTCGCAATATGCAGTCGGCTCAACAAAAGTATAATTTTTAATAAAATTTACGAATATACAAAATTAATGAAAAGTGCTTTTTGTCACGTTGCAAAATATTATAATATTACCGTCTTTAAAGACCAAAATTCAATATTATATTATTATTATTTTTTAGTTTAAATAACGTTGACCAAATATTGATCAATATTAAAAATTGTATTTTCAATGACTTATTATTGTATTTTTTTTAAATTAATAACTATTTATTTATACAATGTGTATCTAACCTTGTAATGCTACAAATATAAATAACTAATTGAAAAACACAACTATAAAAAATAATTATTATTTTTTTAGCTAAAACAAAAAGCAAGTCATCGATAATATGTAAAATACATTTTTCTATTACATTTTTTCTTTAAAAATTTATAATCAAACGACTTATTTTAGTAACGTTTTTAAATATTGCACTTTTAGTTCGAAAAATCTTAAAAATACTTATAGTGTATAACAGATGGTAAATGTTAAAATATTATAAAAATTTGTTTAAAACTATACATATATCTTGTCAGTACATTCTGTTTAATGCATTAATTATAATTCAAACATAAAATTAGTTAAATAAAGTAAGTTTTTACTATTGAGTAGAAACGAAAAAAAAAATTATAACTCTAAATTATGTTAACATAAACTTCCTATAAACGTATTTAGTACTTTGAAGTTCGAATAAAATTATAAACAAGAAAATGATTTTTACTAAATTACTCAGTTTATTTTTTGTAAACTTCTGCGTGGCAAATTATTTCATAAATATGCAATGTAATTTTTCAGTGTATTTTTTAAATTATTTCAATCATAATAAACGTTTTTTACAAGAACTGAGTGTAAATAAAAATAATTACAATGAATTTGATGTAATAACATATGGTGCTGCTGTACAGACTCACGGTGAAATTGTTATGGTCATGTTAGATGTTTTAAGAAAATTCAATTCAAGAAATTATTCAAGAGAGTTAATGACAATCAATTTATATTTGAATAACGTTTCAAATACTCTTGACATGATTGGTAAAAATGATGATGGCACATTTGATTATTCAGACAACACATCAAACCTAATAAAAGGATACACGATAATGCATCTATATATTGAAGAACAATTAGAAAAATTTATTAAAAAAATGTGTTCTAATGAACCTTTAGATGAAGAGTTTGTTAAATTTCCATATTATAATACATGTGAAGACTTGCACCCAAAGAACCTACAATATATAACAGAAAAACTTAAAAATAGAATATTCGACAAGAATTTGCATACTAATATAGAACGGAAGAATAGAAAATTAAATAATAATTATGTACTGAATGAATTAATATCAGCCATTAATCGATGCAAATACGAAGAATTTCATCCAAAAAATTTACTGTTTTACGATTTAATGACAAACCAACATGACTTTATTGAGAACGGTGTTAATCAAATAAAAAAATATCGAATAATAAAAGATGGACAACCGGAACATATTTTAGATCTGCTCCGATTTGCCCCTTTAATTGAAAAATGCTCTGATGGAAGTACTTTAACAGTTTTGGATGTGTTTCGATACGTAAAATACAGTTTTGAAAGACTAAATATTAAATGTTTTGAAATGTTAGTACAAATTGCAGCATTACATCCTATAATAACATTTATACAATATTACAATTCAATATTTGTTAACTCAATTGATGTTAATAGATTTAGCACTCATCATGAAAAAGCCAAAACTTTTTATGAAAATATGATTAATTTAGGCTATACATTAATTATACATTTACAGGACTTTATGAATTTGAAAATGTTTGCAGATTTTGTCATACACGACATAGAATGTATACTATCAGTGGTTAAAAGTTTATTGATTCTGTTTAATCAAAAAACTATATCGCAATTCAATGAAATGAGCGAATTACTGTCCAAAAAAACAAAAAAAATATTAAAAGTTAATAAATTGGATTACAGCTTTGAGATAGTAAAATTAGACGAAAATAATATAGAAATATTTTACGACAAATTAATTAAAAATTTTGATCAAATAAAAGCATATACAGTAGAATTAGAAAAACATAAGAACTCATTTTTTGTTGTCAATAAAACAATGAATAAAAAATTCTTTGCATTTCATAACAGCTCTCACTTTTTAAAATCTAAAATTAAAGGTAAGGAATTTTTGAAATTTGTAATTTTTTAAATGGTATATTAATTACATTTCAAATATTCATAATCATTTTTAAATTAATTCATTTGATTAGAATAGAGCTTTTGCTTTACACAACTATATTAAAATAGATTTTTTAATAAAACTAGATTGTGTATATACTGTTTATAGAATGCAATTTGATTTATCTAGAATACTAATACTCCCAATTATTTTTGTTAAGTTGTGATTTTTTAATGAAAATGTCTTTAATTATTATTTTAATGTACTATGAAAAATATCATAGATATTCCAAAAAAATATATATATATTTTTAAAACACATTACTTTCAGAGCTGGCTTTATAAAATTGAAATTGGAAACATATAATCATTTTTATACCATTTATTTAAGAATGGACTAAATATAATTGCGATCTTTTGATTGCCAGTATGCCATGATATTTTATGAGTTATTAAAATTTTTAAATATAGACAAGAAGAGTGCGCAACACGTTATTATTTTTTTCTATTCGTGTGATAAAAAGATGGCGTGTTTAAAACCATTTCACTCCTCATTTTACTATAATTTTTGAAGGGTAATATTTTAAAAAATAATTTTAACGGCCTGTATCAAATATTTTTAGATAAAAAAATAATATATTTTTTTTTAACCTAAACATTTCATGCACATATTAAATTAAATTATATAATTTAAAGCAGTTTAGGAGCCAGTTATTTCTTTAAAATATCATTCTATTAATAGTTTTGAAATAGTAACAATTATGTTTTAACAAAAATTTTAATTTCAGATCGTATGTGTGAAGACAATATTTATACTTCATTAAATAAAATAAACTCGATTCATAGTGATAAAAATGTTAATGATGTAATTGATTATGATAGCTATGACTTCAGTAAGAAAAATGATGAAATAAAAACTGTCGAAAGTCACTATGATGATGAATTTGAAAATAAAGAAGATAAAATAGATAACTCAAAACATTTTCCTGATTATATGATTGATTATTTACTTTTTAGATGAATCTATTAATTAATTATGACTCAGAAATTTTTGATAAATTTAATATTAATAAGACTATTGTAATCAACTAAATTTACTAAATTAATAATCTGAATAAAGACGATAAAGTAATATATTAAATACAATTAAAATATCAATCTTTATCATTGATTAGTTCGTGCTTATTAATAGACACTTTGACTGGACATTCCAGAGATGGCCGCTCAGCTGTTTCAGTGTCTAATTAAATAGTCTTACCTTAATAAAAAGGACTATAATTATGTTCTAGCTGTGTCTACTCGTTTTTATTGAACCCTCATACTCCACGATTTTGATAGAATGTATTCATACATAAGAACCCAATAACTCATTACAGTAGTTTTGATTTTTTTGACGCTAAAAATTGATGCTCTAAGGTCTTCTTCTTCTTCTTCCTCGCCTTTATCCCAAATACTTGGGGTTGACCACCGCCTACATTTTGTTCGGGATTCCTCATACTTTTTTGACAATAATTTTTACGCCGGCTGTCGACCTGACGCAACCTTATTAGTCGCCTCTTACAACTGGCAGAGGGGTCGTGAAAGTATTCTTAGCCCATATCCACAGGGAAAATGATGCTCTAAGGTAATTTAAAAAAAAATTTAAAGAAAGGTGTTTATTGAACTTTATCCTTTTTTTTCATGTATAAATAGCACATTCAAATATATAATTCTCTACATATATCAATATATATAATAATACATATTAGGACGGAACCATTAATTTCGAAAACCGGAGCTTATAAGTTTTTAATACTTGAAATGTATATATTTCTGACAAGACCGAAGCGGTCTTGTTCACGGGTAGGTTCAAGTTCACTCCTCCACGACTCGTCGTGCTGGGGGTGGAGATCCCGCTTAAGGACTCCATGACATATTTGGGACTTTTCATAGACATACGACTAAAGTTCGGCTCTCACATTACTCGTGCGGCCCAGTGGGCCCAGAAAGTCATGAATTGCNGTGCTGGGGGTGGAGATCCCGCTTAAGGACTCCATGACATATTTGGGCCTTTTCATAGACATACGACTAAAGTTCGGCTCTCACATTACTCGTGCGGCCCAGTGGGCCCAGAAAGTCATGAATTGCCTGGCGGGACTCATGCCCAATCTGGGAGGGCCGAGAGAGAAGCGACGCAGACTTTTAGTCAGCGTCGTACACTCGGTCCTCCTGTACGGGTCCCCGGTTTGGAAGGATACTCTTGAGTATTCGTCCAATAACCATGAAGCCCTGCTCAGGGTGCAGAGGCGGGCGGCGATTCGGACTGTTTCAGTATACCGAACGGTGTCCGGAGTAGGTATCCTGTTATCACTGCCACCTGCCGACCTGCTAGCCTAGGAACGCGCCGCCGGGCATGAGCTCCGCCGACAACGCGGCTGGTCCCTCGAACCCGAGGACTGGCTGGCCCTTAGGTGGATGACCATTCTCCGGTGGCAGACGCGCCTCTCGAAGGAAACGAAAGGAAGGAAAGGAAACTAATAAGGAACTAGCTGATCATGTTGCTTTTGGTATAATCCACCAATTTTTGAAAATTAAACACTATCTAAATATTTGCATCGAAGCGTTTTTTTTTATAAGTGATTTTAATCACTGTCAGATATCATTATACTTGATCCAACTATGCCATGTAACCACTGTGCCACGATCCCCCTGTGCTGGGTTTTTTATATATTACTAGTAAACAAACAAATAATTAAAGCTTATTTATTTTTCTTGCAAAAATTTGATGCGTGTATGAAAATTATTGAAAAAAGACCCTGGTTATTTTTAAATGTTGATGAAAATTTCAAAATTAAAATATAAAGAAAGTAAATTAATATTTACCCAATTCATTAGAATTGAAAAGAACGATAAAGCATTTGATCGAGCATATATTCTTAAACTTTAATTAATTATCATTGACAAAAGTCAACATTTTATTTAAACCATTCTTCATTTAACAGTCAATATATATATAATACGTCCATTTTAATTTTAGAAAATTATTCTTAAAATCTACAGCTAAAAACACTTTTTTATTACTATAAACTTAATATTTACATTGGCTTATAAAAATAAATCAAATTTTTATCTGTAAATTTATATGAAAAACTTATTATTTAGGTAAGGGTGGGACAAGTTGACATCTTTGAGCTTTAATTGAATTTTCTAAAGAAAATATTTAACATAAAAACTGAAAACTTGATATAATTACTACTTTACCAATTGTTAAAATGTTCATTAATTAATAACAATAATTTATTAAATAAAAATTATAAAAAAAAAAAAAGTCAAATTCATCATTCGACTGGGGTTGTATGATTTTTTTTTTTTTTGAAGCAAGTTAGCAGACTTCAGCTAAACTCAGAAAGTCAGCTTAAAGCTACTGTCCCTTAAAGAAATTTAGGATTTTTATACAAAATTTTTAATTGATCAATTAAAAAACTTAAAACAAAAAAAATTAATTTAAATATAATAAAAATATTTTACCTCAATTTATTATTATTCATAATTACACCCCAGTAATTCATTCATTTAAATAGAAATTGAATTTATTTACGATGTTTTATTTAGCCAAAACAATAAAAAAAATTGTACTTAATTATTCCGCTTAAGTTAAAACCTTAGGTCGTAAAACAAAAATATTATATCGTTCTTGCAAATAAGGTACAAGAGCAATATAAAACAAAAATAAATGTTCATTCAAATTATTTTTGAAAATTTTGACATTGTTTGGTTAATAAATTTAAATATACTTCCATAAAAAATTTGCAATAACTTTATTTTTTTAAGTGCACGAACATCCTAAATAATAATCCAAGATGAAATAAAGCTGATATATTAATGTCAGCCATTTTTCATTAGAGTAAAATTATAATAATATTTAACCCTCACACCACATGGTGGGGTGTTTGCGCACCCCATGGAGTTTTTTTCATGCGCATGCGCGATCTACTACTTCAGGTAGTGTTGAGGATCTTAGTAGCCTCGTTATCAGTTGTCTTGTGGACTAGATTTTAGTAAGTACCTTGCTGCATCCAACAAGGTATATGTTACAGCTGACCGAAATCTTAAAAGGTACAAACCGGAATGTCAGTATGGACAACTGTTTTTCTTCCTACCAACTTGCAGAACAACTTACTGAACACAAGCTTACAATGGTGGGAACCCTAAGAAAAAACAAGCGGGAAATACCACAATCCATTGGTTTCAGTAACACGTATACTATTGAATTCGTCAAGGTTTGTATACCAGCCAGGCAAAACATTGGTTTCCTACAATCAAAAAAAAAAAAATAATAACGTCATTTTATTGAGTACGATGCACGATACTGGAGAAGTAAATACAACTACAGAAAAGATTTTGGGTATAGCAGCTCCTTCTGCAACAGAGCAGCCTTTGACAGGTTCTAAAAAATATAAGCGGTGCAACTTTTGCAATCGAAAGAAGGACAAAAAGACAACGAGTTTCTGTTCAAAATGCAAATTACCGATTTGCAAAGAGCATGAGAAAGTAACTAAGTATTGTTATAAATGTTATGAAGATTTTCCTGATGATACTACTTGATTTAATTATTTTTATATTTTATATGTAGAGTTTAATTTTATTTCCTGATGTTACTAGTCTGATATAGTTATTTTATAAATTTTATTTGTTGGTCTAATTTTTTTTTCTAATATTGTTAGTGTTACAAGGAAATAAATAAATATTATATTCTAAATAAAAGGTTTTTTTTTATCACCAACCTGTAATAAATGATCCTAATTATTCATAATACTTATTCAAGTATAATTATGCGCGTTAAAAAATGGTTGGTGTCTTCGGAAATATATAAAAAGTATAATGAAAGAAACCTTTATCAATCAAGTTGCTATTTGAGGAAAACGATAAAAATCTAACGGGAATTGAATGAAAAGTGCTGAAAAACATTTTACAACATTTTATTTTTTAAATAATTTTATGTCATCCATCAATTGTAATAAGAAATGCCTGGAGTATGGAAACACCCCACCTTGTGTTATATGTAACTTCATTTCACCTTGTGGTAAGAGGGTTAAAGTTCATAAAAAAACATCCGTCTGTATACATATCATACAAAAGGCTTTTTGAACTTTTCATATTGTATCTACTAGATTTAATTGAGTATATAATATAATTGAATGCAAGAACATTAATCAATATTACTTAGATCAACATATTATTAAACATGAACGATGTAATGTGTCAACTGGAAAAACGATTAGCGTTATTCTTAGATGTTTGATTGCATATGTACTTAAATGCGTTTGGGTGTCTTTGGCATGTTAAAGTAAAATATTTTACTCTGAAGTAATGCCTAACGTCAGTTCTAGGAGGTCCACAAAATAAGCCGGTGCGTGGAAAAATAAAATAAAATAGTTAAATACTTTTTTTACAGACTTAATACACTTTCTTAATTTAAAACATCAATAATTATTTTAATATTACTTTTAATATTTGTTTAAATAATTTTACCCTAATTTACAATATTTTTTGTTATTAATTTATATTACATGGCTATTTAAATATTTTTTATTTTTGTAAAAAATTTCGGAAAGAATGGAGCTGATAACATTTTTACAGGTAGGGAAAATAATGTTTTAGCAATAAAAAATAATTAATGATTGATAAATTAAAAAATATGTACCTAAAAGAATCCAAAAAAAAATTCACAATATTATTTTTATATTTTGATTAATTAAGTCGTCATAATAAATTAATCACAATTTATCACTCAGTATATTTGGTGTTTAATTATTTTACACAAGTAATCGAAATTTAATGGGACACTCATATTCTCAGATATTAAAGAAAATGTTTAATTTTAGTAAAGAGAAAATATTTTAAATTTAAAAATCTGCAATTATATATAGTTAAATATTATTTATTAATTTCTTCAAGGTTAAAATACCTTTAATAATTTTAAACGCAAATGGTTGATAGGATTTAAAAATATAAGAAAATAATTAATGGTATTTTTTTTTTAAATTATATCATCAAGTTAAAAATAAAGGTTACTTATTAAGAAAATTATATTTAAGAATTTTTATCCTTGAAAGAATGAAAAATAAATTGTTTAACTATATATTATTGTAGTTTTTAAAATCAAATATTTTTTCTCTTTG